CTACCCAGCCAGATTAAAACAACGGGAAAAATCAGCAGTAGCTGAACATGCCCTAAAACAAGCTGGACATCAAATTCTATTTCAAAATACTGACGTACTGGACAACACCAGCAATCTGTATGTTGGATTGCACAGGAAAGCCATTGAAATCTATAAACATAAACAGAACTTCAACAGGAAAGAAGAAGGCCTAAAACTAAACACAGCCTGGCACCTCATTCTGAAAAATACAACTTGCAAAAGGTCAATGAACTCTACCCAGCCACAAGGGCCAAGGATCATTGCACAAAAAAGAACAGCTAAGGACACCCATCAATCACAGTGACAGATAATCTCTCCCTTCCCCCTCCCTTATCACAACAAAAACATGCTGATCACCCTATCTCCTGAAAAAAGACAAAAGCTGTTCCAACAGCTATAAATAACTATCCAACAAACAGCAATAGAGCATGGACAGAGTTCCTACTCCAGTTCTCCGAAGATGCCGGCCACAGAGACTGGCGAAATGTCAGGAAGATCAACCTTCAGAACACGGCCAAAGAACCCGAAAAACTCACAACAACCAATCAAAGGGAAACTTAAACTAAATTGAGAGATATCAAAAAGAAAAAATCAGTAGAGAAATACACTATCTTATCAGGATAAAATAAAGAAGGAAACAGTATATTAAAGAACTACAAACAAGAGTTGCAAGGATTATAGATTCCTTGGGAGAAAAATTCTGAGAACTTGCAGTTTTAGAAAGTGAAGTGAATTAGAACAAATAAATCATGAGGAAGATATGGGGTATCATAAGAACAATTTCAAGGTACAGGCACTGAATGTATGTATCAACAGAATATGCCAATAAATTTAGAAAACAGAACTACAGCCCATGACTAGAAACAAACAATATCATTCCAATTCCAAAGAAAGAAAATACTAGAGAACACAGTGACTATAGTAGAAGTGCATTGATTTTCCATGCAAATAAAGTTGGGCTCAAGATTTCACACCAAAGACTATACCAAATATAGAAAAAGAAATGTCAGATGTTCAAGCTTGCCTCAGAAAGAAAAATGCATGAGAGATAACAGTGAAAACACAGTACATACTAGGTACTAAAAAGTACTGAAGTATTTCAGCAAAGCCTTTGACTGAGTAGAAAATGAAAATCTATGCAGCATTCTAAAAGAAATGAATATGCAACATTTCATTGTTCTGATAAGAAGCCTACACTGTGGGAAAAAAACTAACATTAGAACAGAATGCAGAGAAATAGAATTATTTTCATCTGGAAAATGCATCTTTGGATAAGGGTGTATTTTCTCTGCATGCCTGTTCAATTTATATGCAAAATATGTCATACAGAAAGCTGAATTAGATTGAGGTGGAGGAGGAGCAAACATTCATAGAAGAATTTCGGTGATTTCAGATAATACAGATTACACTGTACTGTTGGGGTTCTTTACTATCAGTTATTATAGACTAGATGCAAGATTTAGCAAATTATGAACTAAGTTCATGAATGTAGCTCTTTTCAGGACTTAGGACAGCAAAATAAGAGCACTGGGCTATGCACCTAGATATGTATACTATTGAGAGCTATTACAACTACAGTGGTGCCTCGCAAGACGATTGCTTTGCATGACGATGAATTCGCTTTACGATGAGGTTTTTGGAGCGATCTTGCGCTTTGTTTAACGATGTTTCCTATGGGCGATTTTCGCTTTATGATGTTAGGGACCTTGCCTCGCAAGACGGTTAAATTTTAGGTCTCTGTTTTTCGCTTTACAATGTTTTTGACAGCTTGGTCTTGCTTCGCTATATGAGTCTTTTAATGGTCTCTGTTTCATTAGATGGCTGTATTTGCTTGGGAACTGCATTTCGCTTAATGATGTTTCCTATGGCAATTTTCGCTTTACGATGACAATTCGTTCCCATTGTAACGGATTATCAGGTTTTCAATGCATTTCAATGGGAAAACGTGTTTCGCAATACTATGTTTTCACTTAACAGCGTTTTTTGGAGAATGAATTAACATCGTCTTGCGAGGCACCACTGTATGTGATCAAGATATGATCACTGCAGTGAAGAGATATACCTTGAGGATACAGACTTAAACCGAGTTATTATAATGAAGCCCCACTACAATAAGGGCTTATTCCTGCTTACACACATAACCCTTATTGGGCTTATTCTTACAAGTATAATGTGAGTAAGCTTCTTGAGGATCCAAACCCTCCTCCATTAACAAATTATTAGCACAATGCATTTCTTAACAGATCTCTCAGAGAATACTTGACCCTTGTTATACATGGTAAACCAACTTAACAGCCTCAAATCACATACTAAATTCATAGTTGGAGTGAGACTTCCTGAGCCAAAGTATGGAATCCATAGTATGATTATTGAGAAAAAAGCCCCTCTCCATTCAGCCCAACTCAATAAAATACAGAATAATAGTATAAACTATCATACTGATACCTTATGTATACCATCAAGTCAACTTACGGATACCCTTTTCCAGGGTTTTCCAGGTAGAGAATACTCAAAAGACGTTTACTGTTTCCTTCTTTGGGGGGGGGCACCCTGAAACTGTACAATTTGCCTATGACTACACAGGGAGGTTTTTTCCCCAGGAGGCACAGTGGGAAATCAAGATACCAGATACCTAAACCACTGAACTCTTCAGCCAGCATACTGATATCTTATATCATCATTATAATGCAACTCTTTGCTACACCATCCCCACTTTCAGAAAGCAGCTATTTCTCCCAATTGGTGTCTGACTTCTAGCTCTATGCCTCAGTTGCAATATGGATGCAATAATACTGATCAACATGCAACATGTTACCAAAATAATATGAGTGAAGGAATTTCTAAATGCTAAAGAGTTATCATAGTCTGTTATCTACCTTCATCTGTTTCAGCTAACCCAGTATGTTCTAATCACTATAATTAGCAATGTTTCTTCAACTTCTCAAACAAAGGTTCTCACCTTGATTACCTTAGATGGGGGAGATAGGTTAATATGCCTGACACTAAACCTGGGACTTTCTTTAAGCAACCCAGGAAGGAGATGGGAGTGAAAACAGTGAACAAAATAAATATCAGAGCTCCTCTTTCACTGGACTGTCCCTTCCCCCAACACACACACCCTTGTTGGGAGAACCTAATAATGTCTTATTGTTACCTGTTAACATCTTTTTTAATTGTATTACTGTAACTTGGTTTTACGCCTCAAAGTATTCAGGGCAGATTTATTCCCCATTGTTACACTGTATTCTAACTATTAACTTTCCTCCTCTATGAACACGTCCTTTTCTCAGAACTTTCTGCCAGATACAAGGTTGCAACATTAAAGATCCACAGTCTACAGAAGTACAATCTTGAGAGAGGACTCCAAAATGACTGAGAATGTTCACAGGAGACAAAACGTTGACCAATTCTTAAGGGGACAGAAAATCAGGAGATGAAAAGGGAAACAGTGGAGTAGCCTAAAAGAGAACATGGTGCTGTCTGCCAACACTCCCAGCAGGAGTATTCTTCTCTTATTTTATTCCATGTCCCACCATGCAATTCGGAAACTGCAGGGAAATATATTTTTTTCCGAAGTTATTTTTGTTGTCCTGAAAGCTGCTTTGGATATTAATTTAAAAACAAAATAGTGTGAAATATACAGAATTTATGAAGAAAATGTATTCTCCTTGTTGCATTAAACACAGCATTCAATGTTTAAAATGCTCAATGTGTTTGGGAGAATTTAACCCGGAACTTACTTTCCGAATCAAAGCACGTGCTCTTCTTGTGCTGAACTACGGATTCATCCAGAACTTCCTTGGACTACAAATTATGGTGTCTGAAAGATTATAGAAATTGTGATGTAACTTTTCCAAGCTGTTTGAACGTAATTCGCGTCGCCTTCCTTCCTTCCTTCCTTCCTTTTTTTTTTTTTTTTTTTTTGAGAAAGCAAAGAAAATTAAATTGAAGCAGCCTCACTATTCATTTCTAACTTTAAGTAAGGAGCCCACAAAGTCCACTGAGGCATTTTTGAGGAAACCATGCTTCCGTCCCCTCCCTTGCAAATCCCCCCAATTTTTTTAATGGGAAGCTCGCCCCATGAATTCAAAAAAGAGAGGCAACATAGTATAGTTGAGAAGCATACTTGTTATAAAGAGTTAAAAAAAATACAGAAAAGCACCCTTGGCTAAATACCTGATGCTCGTTCTTCCTAGCTCACAGTCCTCTGAAGATGACTTCAGTACAGGCACAAGAGGCAGATAATACAAGCCGAGGAACTCCGACAAGTTCCCGCCCTTGCCCGCCGCTGAATGGCCAGGTCCCCTGCCACTCAGAAGCACCCTTCCCCCTACAAACATCCGTTTCGAGCGTTGACCAGCCTGAATCTCTCTCAGAGGAGTCCCCGCCCCTGGAAAGCTGGCCTCCAGCCCAACCCAGCAATTCGGCGGGGAGGCCGTCAATCACTCCCATCCTTTCCTACGATTGGCGACTCTAGAGAAAAAAAGGCGGGCACGAGTTGTACAGGGGAGGCGGGGGGGGCGAAAGCTGCTGGTGTTTACTGGGCGTGAGGGGAAGCGAATTGTTGGGGAGTAAAAAGAACGGCGGGGGTTTCTTAGGTGTTTTTTTTTTT